AAATTCTGGACACTAAATTGACCAATCAGAATCCACGCTTTACTTTGGTTATGTTGTAATCAGATTTCTTATCAAATGATGGTTACTATGTTACTTGTTTTTTTGCATGCATGTTTTAGCTTTGCGTTTTCGTATGTTTCACGAATGCTTACCACTTGGTTTGGACAAAAGAAATCTGACCGAGGCTTGAAAACACTTTCGTTTTGAGTTCTTTGGAATATGACCTTGAGAGAAAGAAAATATATGAATATAGCTCCTATCTAATTAGAAGTAAATAAGAAAGTAAACTCCTAGAGAATAATTCAAAAAAGCCAACTCTCTAGATCTGCATCTTGAAATTCAGTAAGGGACCGGTTATTAGTTATCGCGGGGAAGGGGGGGGGGTCAGACGATTTTAGGTAAGTCACAATAAGACTTACCGATATTCTATCGCCCTTCCCGTCACTGGCATTCAATCGTTTATAGTCCCCCGTGTTAGAAATGAATGATCCCCCCTCCATTCCCCCTGAAAACAATGTAATCCTCTCAAACTCCCCCCCTTCCCAAGGCGATTAAACGTGATAGGCCGGACGGGTCCTCCAAAAAAGCATTTTTTTTAAATTCTTCAATAACTTGTGTAGATAAATCAAGCCGCCAAGGTAAACCTTTATTCAAAACACTTACCCATACATTTTTTAAACCTCTTACGTTCATCGTTATAAGAGTGCCGAAGCGGGTGGGTTATTTCAAACTGATAAAGAATGAGAAGTCTAGTAATTTGGCTATAAAGGTTCAAATTCTTACCTTCAAGAAATTGAGCGTCACCATATCATTGGAATGGTTAACAGGATTGAGCAGAAGAGCTCCAGTTTGAAACCAGTGACTCAGATAATTAAAGAACAGTTCTTTGTTTGTAAAGTCAGTGGCCTTGTCCACAAATCCTCTTGTTAGTTCCAAAATGTTTGTTAGATTCACTATGGATAGCTGAAAATGAACAGAGAGAAACATTATTTTAGGTCCAATAAAATGAGTTCTTCACCCGACGAACTTTAACACAAACATTATGACGATCTTGACTTCTTCGTCAGCATGAACGCGAATCAGTCAATCTATTTCAACCAAACATTTGATTCCATCGTCTGAGTTGATATTGTAAACTGCTCACCGTATAGAGTTCCAAAATCTGTTTCGAGTATTAGCCCCTCTCAGAACGAATGACGAACTCTACAAACTCTACAAGGCAGCCAAAGTATATTGAACTCAGTTGACAAAACCAAATTATCTTGTGACATCCCTCACCGACACAACGCCACAGTTTCTTTTGAAACTTGCCGTTCCCCCTTGTTACAGAAAAATGAAATAAATCAAAAGTTTGATTTATTAGTTTGCTATTCCAGTTGCGTCATCCTACCGCGATTCAAACAGCCGCTGATTAGAATACATCGGAATCAAGGTAATACATACTTTATGACTGAAGTCTTGACGAAGACATTCTTTTTCGCAAAAACAGCTTTCTTTGTATCTCCACTCTGTTTTCTCGCCACATGGTGAAGAACAACTGTTCGTGAAATTTCCTGTGGCCAAATAAAAGTAAATAAATGAAAAGCACGTTGCTGCCGCAAAAACAACATTAAATTTCGATATAATTGTTTTCATTAATCCTTACCTTGACACTCGAATGATAATGATTCAAAGTCTAATTGAATGTAAAGCACAAACAGTAGCAAACGCTGTAAACCCATGCAAATGGTTGATGAAGTTATTCAACGTTTAACCGTGTTTATACAATGAAAGGATATGGAAAAAACTAAAATATTGAACACAGTCTGAACCCTGGAATAACAACTGATTGCGTTATGTAGTCTTCCCGCTGACGACAGTATATGAATTTACCTCTGCTGGCCGAAGCACATGACTGACGTTTTGATAAACGATGGGGCTAATGCTTTATTTGGGATAATTCACTTACTTTTTACGATAGATTGTTGAAGCTTCACTGAGTCAATGTTAATGAATTTTTTAGGGCGAGTTCTCCTTACCGGAGCGATCAGACTCTTTGAACGGAGAAAAAAAAAAAGTCATGTTAAGTGCACTAAAACAGTAGACTGTTATCACCCACAGCGGGGTAGTGCTTTGGACTTCTAGGCGTTTTATCATATCGTTTCCTCGTAACCCTTTTATTCCCAGATGTGATTAACTCGTAACTTCTCCCTATAGTACTGTTTTTTATCACAAAATAACATCTTTTTTGACGCAGCGTATCAAGGCATTTTATTCTACCTCCCAATTCTGGATCCACCTCTGAACAGTTCCTTACAACAGTCTCATCCAAGGCAGTTCTTTCCCAGTAGAGATTGAACTTCGTGTGAAATGGACAGAAATCTGAAAGAAATATTCAAAAGTTCCTTTCAAAAACAGCTTCCATGCAAAATATTCTTGAAAAGGCATAAGTGCTTTCTTTTCCTTCAAGATCGAAGTGTAATCTAAGGGACCCTTCATTATTTAACGTTTGGGGAGAGCAGGGGGGTCAGCCGAGATTGGAATCACATGGTTTTCAGGGTGGGATCAGTCCTCGTCAATAGAGTGTAAAGGAGGACTATAAAAAATTGACTACTAATTAACTGCTAACGGGGGATGGGGGGTTATAAAAAGTAATATGCAGAATAATGGGGATCAAGCAAATTTTTATCCGACGCTCCTCCCCCCCAGGAAATCAATAATGAACAGTCCCTAAAAGTGAACGTCTGGGCTCGAAATCAGTTGGAGCTTTTACCTGCGATCTGATGCAGTTTGGTGATCTTCCGTATTCTTCTCTATCTGACCTAACGGTCTGCTTCTTGTTACTGTTACATTTTTAGGTTCTTATTACTTTTTCTTCATTCCTCGAGCCCTTAGCTCATTTTAATTTTTTCTCTGACTCCGGCTAGTTCTATTTCTTTTTACTGGGTATAGGAAGTATCACCTGATTTACGCCTATCACTTTTAATAAACTTGGAAGAGTTTTTCAAGTCAGTCCCTTATTTGCAATATATGTCAATTCCTTCCATAATTGACCGTCGTCGCTTTTTTTTCGCTTCATTCTTCTCATTTCGAATCCGCTTATTAGCAGTTAACTGGCAGTCAATTTTTTTAAATCCCTCCTTTATTGGCGACGACTGACCCCCATTCTGTTCCCTCTGAACACCATGTGATTCCCCCATAATCTTCCGACCCCCACTCCCCAAGCGAATGAATGATGACTGATCCCCAAGTCTCAGGTTTTCTTATTAATACTAACACTGAATGCAATTTTTCTCGTCAGACTTGTCTCTGCAATCTGCTTTCTGATTACATCTGTCGTTAAGTGATCTTATCTCATCTCCGCTCGTACAGAGGTACAACCTTTCGTCAGATATGAGTGATAAGTTTCGTATTTCTGAAAAATGTAAAAACACAAACAGCCTCAAAAATTTCGGTACCGACAGTTTTTCGTTTAAGGCGATACCGATTAATTTCTTTTTTGGACGTCAACAAATCTCAGCGGGGAACGAAAAATTATAGCTTGAAGGAGCTTGTTTTTCTAGGGTAACAAAAATGTATGTCCTAAATCGATGGTTAGGACCCAATGAACAAACCTGTAAAAGCCCCTGTACATCGCACGTGACCTATTTCCATGTAGCATCCAGGCCTCACTCTCTCTTGCTCCGAGCTGCAAAAGAAGTCAACTCCATTCTCTGTCCAGTGGTGACCATCCAGATAGGTTTGGTTCTTCCAAATGCAAGCTAACAAAATGCAGAAAAGTACATTATACGGAATGGATAACTTAAATTTAGGCTAATAATTTTCTTAGAATTGTGGTTGTCAAGCAAGCTTTTTGGGGGCAAAATAAAAGATTCGCAGAGAAAATTAGCTTGAATTAAATTCAGCTCCTGTGATTGCTGGGTGAAAGCTTTGGAGAATCCTAATTCTCCATTTACACGTGGGTATTTGGCTTGATCGTCACAATCACTTGCCTTTACAGATTCCTCTGATTCTTTTTACAAACGCCGCTACGTTACAATCTGGTTGACTACAGCGTTCAACGTTCTTTTCATTGGATGTAATAACTGACAGCGTCCTAGAACACGAGATTACACCGTTGCTACAATTACAGTTGATGCATTCACCAACAGACCAGGTGCTTCCATCGAAATATGTATTTGCGTCCTCGTCCTGACACAACGCATCTAAGAAACAAATCGTCAGCACTTAAAATAATTATCGATAATTACTGACAAAATATTCTCCAACAGGAGAGGAATAAGGTGAGGGACCGAACCCTCCCCCTCCCTCCTCATATGGTATTTAGTCTCACAGTAATCCCCCTAACGCTATTTTTTGGTACACGCCCCTCGGAGATCCAGGCGCATCTAGAAATAATGAATCCAATGTTGCTAATTTTGCTCACGTGCATATCCCATGATCCCACACGGCTTGTATGCGTTCTTCACTGAGACGTCAAGCAACACTCCAAGATTCATGTATCTTAGTATCGGAGGACCACATGATTGAGTCTAAAAATAGCTTGAGAGGGATTACGTTTCAAAGAGGGTCTTCAAAGGAATACAGTCTCTTCGCCTAATTCTCTCTTCACTCTCGCTGAAGTCATTACATTGGTTCTTTCACAAGGCTTCCCAAATTTTAAAAAATGAAAAGATTTGGAACATTTACTCTGAGAGTAAATGCTCTAAATCTCTTAGTGAGAGCGTGTTTGCTCAACGAGGGAACTCACAAACTTTATATGACACGTCCATTCTCGACAAGGGCTGGCTACAAGGTGACGATATAGAAACATCGATCGTTTAATCTGCTTTCAACGATCTATCAATGACCAATGTCACGGTATTCCGATTGATTTCAAGCGAATGACATAAAGATTAACCTATAATAACAGATAATAAAGTAAAATAAAACCTTCAAATTATTTTAATGAAACCGTTTGCTTGGGTACTCGAACATGCAAAGAGGTAGAAATAAACTAAAAAGAAAGAAGGACGGTTGAAAATGAAGAGGATTGACACAGCTTGAAATGAGGTCTGATTTTTTCAAGATGAACCAGCCACGTGGAAGCCTCTTAGAAGTCGCCTCTAATCAGTCAAACTTACCCATTTTACAGGAGCCGTTTCCCAGCAGGCAGTTCGGATCGAGTATGCCACACTGATCATCACTGGTTATCAATTGGAGTCCTCCAGGACACAGCTTCATACCCCAGCGCACCTGACTTGCAAGCTGTGGGAGTGCTATCAATTAAAAACGCGCCTTGAATGAGAAATTGAGAGCAATTTTCAATTGAATATTCAAAGCAAATTCTTAATTACATTGGTTTTGATTTAATTTGCTGGGTGATTGGTCCAGTAAACTATCGCACCCCCTCAACCAATCAAATGCAAAACAGTTAATAGTCACTCGTATTTCCCTACGCTTTTTGCATCTTGTCTGTTTTTACTTTGTATTCCCATGGGCTTATGATGATGTTGACCTTGATTCTTATTGGCCTTTGTCATCACTTTGAATTCGGGTTTTCGAAACCTGACAGATAATCAATTAAAAAAGATCACAACATAGTTGTTAATTCAACAGGTGTAAAAAGGTGCAGTGGTGAGAGCACCTCGCCTTTGACCATTGTGGTCCGGGTTCGATTCCCGGACCTGGCGTCACATATAATGTATATTATTTAGATATCTACTACATTTTACCTGGGCATTCTTTAGCATAACAGACTGCTCCATTGTGAATATGACAGAATAATGGAGACATTTGTGGGCACCCCTTGGTCGGCTTGTATCCGGGAAAGAGGAACTGGCACCCTTGGTACTCCCAGCTGTCTCCTTTTAGCAAAATGTGGCCACCTTCGACAGTTTCAATTGCTAAGTGAAAAATAATTTTATATGTAATATAAAGACGATAGTACAAGAGGAAACAAGGTCGAGCTAAAGTGAAAAGAGGAAGAATACAATAACTGGACGAAGTCGAGAAGATTATTTAGTAAAATTCACTGAGCCTGAATAAATCTTTTAGAATAGTTGCTCAGGTGCTTTCCATTTCTGTTGTAAATTCGTTTTGTTGTTGAAACCATTCTGTTACAATTGTTTTGATTACACGTACCGAGATATGCAGCCAGTCTCTACTAAAATTTGACAGGTTTATTTATTTCAGTAAGCAAAAACATCATATCTCTCTTTTGAAAAGTGTTACGTCAATTTTTGCACTCTTCCTATCAAACTTATCACTTCCTCGGTAATAATGACAAAACGCGAGGCAGCCATTTTGAAATTTAGCGCTCCTTCTATGATCACCCCGCGCAAGGTGATTATGGCGAGATATAACCCAATCCTCGACCAATCAGAGCCTTGTTGAAAAATCCCCTCGTCTTCGCATCGGTGATTATTCAACAATACTCACTTTGTCTTCGGCGACTAATTGTTAAATATTAGCCGAGCCAACAATTACTTTCCGGAATCGAGCCTGGCCGGTCCTTACCTATTTTCCTCACGAAAAAACAAAGTAATGAAAATTTCAAACATAAGCAGCTTACATTGTTTGAGAAATCAAGGTTTGAAACTAGTCATGTCCACAGATATCTGTATGATTGTAGTCTCCTTCGCAGCTGGTGTTTGGCCTCGTCACGTGACGCGCGCTCTCTCTTGTCGGGTGACGAGACCAAACAACCGCTGCGAAGGAGACTTGTATGATTGGGGATGTAATTCCTGATTTTGGGGCTGATTTCAATTTTCTGCTTCGATGAGTAGCCATTTCGGATAAGCAAGGATCTAATCCTGGTGGTGTAAGTAAATTCAGTTAAATTCTAGAGAAATCTATACTTAAACTTTGGCTTAAATTAAGTTGAACTCCCTAACCCTACCTTCACATGTTTCTCTCCTGGCTTTAAGAAACTCCACGGTGTTACACTCTGGTTGTTCACAGGACTCAGTGAACGGTGTGTATTCAAGGCGATTGCCTGGGAAGTTGACTTCAAGTGTCCTCTTGCATTTTAGAAGACCCTGCGTGCACTCGCAATTCATACAATCGGACACCTGAAATAAAGTTAGCAATCAGTTCTACAAATGTAATACGAGCAGTAATTATTCAAGGGCTTTCCAATAAACCAGTGTACACCTTTATTCATTCTACGAGTGGAATTTTTCAAGGATTACTATTAGTGCGACAATTTACCTTCCAAACATCTTTCAGAATTAGAACCTGCCCTTCCTCATCGCGACAAATAACTAAAACAACAAAATGGAAGAGGAATCATCAGTAATCACTTTACAGTTTTTCTCTGATGGTTTTTCCTTTCTTTTTCGTTTGGTTAGGTGATGGGGGGCGGGGGGGAGGTGGAGAAATTGGCAAGAGTGGTATAGGGTGTGGTCAGATTAGTGAAAGTCCCTCACCATCATGGCATTGCACCTCATCGGAAGCGTCCGGACACTCGGCGACTACATTACACACGTGTTCTTTCTTTACGAAGTCGCCATTGGAACAACCGAATATCTGATTCGAGTCCTGGAGCTGAAAGAAGGCTGGAGAAAGAGAAGAAGCTTTTAATATGGAGAATCCCGCAGCCTAAATGTCATTCGTTGGCTGATCAAAATGAGTCACTATTTCTAAATGTAGGTTTCAAAGGTGAGAAAAACATTTTGGTTGAAGTTGGCTGAAAAGTAGTCATTCTGATATGTGATTTGGTATCTGGTGATTTCGCTCCATTGCAAGCTCACCCAAAACCACCTTAGCGCGTTTGTCCCCTGAAGTAAAACGAGTTCACACCCAAATCATTTAACTCAGTGGTAAAGTTGGGGCGAACTTGTTGTACGTTAACGGAGTTGCAATGAGGCGAAATCACCATAAAATGGTAATTCAAATCGAGTTACTACACGATGAGAGAAACAATCATATTTCATCATTGCTGTATTTGCAACGAAATTCAGTTGTAATTATAGCCCACCCTGGCAAGCACTGACTGTCCCATCTCCAGTTGGTAAAATATCGTCTCTTGGTTGTTGGCACGGCATACATTTTCCAACTGTCTCAACTTGGAATAACCCATAATGGATGGTCACGCGATACTTCACACAGCTGATTAAACTATCCACGCATGAGCAATTGAAACAGGCTCCTGAAAACCAGTGGGTACCATGTTCCCGCACCATACCTTTCTCATCGGTGCACGCTGGCCGAGAGAGCTTGGTACAGGTTATCAGTCCATTGCTACAGGCGCACTTAGTCATGCTGTCGCTAAGCCACTCTTTCCCATTAAGAAATGCGTTGCCATGAAAATCCCAGCAGCCATATCCAGTTGTTTGGCATTTGACATTAAGATTAGGTTTACATGTACATATGAGCAGAGGATTTGGGTTCCAGCTCTGCCCTACGTCATAAATATTTCCCTCTTTGTCTCTGCAGCCTGGCAGAAATGCAGAAAAATAGTCAACTATTTGTAGGTTAACTCGAATAGGCCTCTCGATGTAGGCAATCTCGGGTCACCTTCTTTCATTGCGTATTATCTAGAGTTATCCCATTTTTAGCCAATTACACCAATTAATATGGATCAAACTCCTTCAACAGTGAATTAGGTAGCGAAGTGTTCAGCCCTCGAGTTAAGATTTACACAGAAGCCAGGGGAATATGGTTTCCGCAGTTACATCTCTTTCGCTTGTTTTCTGTGAAAGGAAACATCCTTAATTTATCACTTAGAGGGTGATTTTGAGGGAAAAAGGAGGGGGGTCAATTAGAGAGATCACTTAGTTTTCAGGGGAAGGAGCGGCATCAATTAGGGGAGATAACATGGTTTTCAGGGGAAAGGAGCGGCATCAATTAGGGGAGATAACATGGTTTTCAGGGGGAAAGGAGGGGGGATCAATTCGGGGATCACATGCATGGTTTTCAGGGGGAAAGGAGGGGGATCAGCCGACGCCCTAGGATAGTAGATGAGGGACTAAGGAACATTGACTGCCAATGAGAAGAGGGTCATAAGAATATGCAGAGCCTCAAGGAGGAACAAGTAGATTTTATCGTTACACAACCAATGTCCTCCTAACTCCCCTCTCCGGGTTATAAGTAATGACCAGTCTATAACTGGTTTATAATGACCAGTCTGTAACTGGTTTATAATGACCAGTCTATAACTGGTTTATTTGACACTTACTAGCTTCTCCAGCTCCACAGTATCGCAGACTGTAAGAGTCTACACTTTTAGGAAACTGTCCAAATTTGTACACAATAAATCCACTGCAGTTTCTCACCAACACCAGACTATACCAATGACAACATTCCCTATCCTTCGTAAAACAAACCATGCGTTTCACCACACCCTCCCCCACAGTCGGATGTTTGCCATTTAACCAGCCAGGTGAAAGAGTACCACAATGCATTCTGGGCACACAATGTGTCGGCATAACAGTCCCTGCACGACCAGCCATCCTGTACCAACCATTGGGTAATTGAGCGTCACACTTTATGGTGTTGTAACTGAAGAAGTCTGCTGCTCGGTCCCGTTCGTTGAGTGTGTTATAGTTGGTACACTCATCGCCTAAAAAACAATTAAGTCAAGACATAAACAAACAGACAAACAAGCAAAGTAGAATAAAACAAACAATACAAATCAACGATATGAATTTTTGTTTTGTGAGGCGTAGAGTTCATCTTTCTTTTGATTACAATCAAGCAAAAAGCGTCGGCACAATTTTTGTGTTACAGTTTCTGTTTGACCCTTCATTCCCAGATGAGATCAACAGCTAACTTCTCCCCATGATATCCATACATTATCCAGCAAACGAATAATGAGAATATTCGAACTTAGCAGGTTGAAGTTATCTTGTTCTAACACAAAATTCTTGTAACTAATTTAAAGGATTACCTGAATTATTCTTGCTTGGTGCTTTGTTCGATGGCAATGAACCTAGGATAAAGAAAAATTTGTTCATATTTCTAAATTAAATCAGTATCAGGAAGTCAGAAAGTCTCTGGATTTAAACGGCGGATCTCAAGTTTCCCCCGCCCCCTCCCACCCCTCCCTTAGTGACAGAAAATGGATGAGGCATGAGTTTGCTTTTCTCTTCACTCTGTCCCGATAGTGCTCGTAAAATGCTGGAAAGTTGCTCACTGGAACGTCATAAGTTGTCCTTTATTTGTCAAAAATCCAAAAAGTAGCTACTAAATTATTTATTATTTCATATAAACGTTAACTGAAAGCTTTATTTTTGGATCTTTACAATAATCATTGATATCAGTGAGGAAAAATAGCTTGAAACTCAGCTTCAGAGGGTTGCTCGCCATTCTTTTCTGTTCATTAGAAATAAAGAAACAAAGACAGCCTTTTTGTGCATCATTCAAGGCGATCATCCGTTATAATATTAGAAAGGGATCGCAATAGGCCCGCAAAACATTGCCAAGTGACAGGTTATGTGTTTAAAAGGTCGATAAACATTCAAGAAATTCGCATAAACTGAAGTTCTCGATGAGATCTTTTACTTTTTCATGCTTGATATGTGCTCTAACCCTTTATCTTGCTCAATAATTGCCCAGAAAGGTAAATTGCTCAAGGTTGCTAGAACCACAAAAAATGGCTCTAAACGCCGAAAACAATGTTCAAAAGATGCCGAGCGCGATTGTAACAGCCTACCCACAAATCTATCGATTAAGAATTCAGTTTAAGTTAATAACAAAGATGGTGATCATGATTTACATATGAATGGAAAACGATGCAGGAGGCATTCGCATTGCAACCTCTCAGGGTTTTCCTCTACAAATATGCCAAAAAAAGGTAAAGTCTGTATTCGAGCCAGGTGGCCTAAACAGCCGGAGCCTATCCCACTTTCCTAAGAATAAAGTGAGTGGGAGTATCGCTACTCCCCCCTGTAGGGGATGCTGGTCTATCAATAGGCTCCCCTCTCCCAGAGTTGCAACAAGTTCCCCTGACAAATCGCCAGTACCCATCTATACTCCTGGGTGCGGAGAGAGAGGCACTGGGAATGTAAAGTGTTTTTCCCAAGAACACAACACATTGAGCCGACCAGTTTCGATCCCAGACCTCTCGACCCGAACTCCAGCTGACCAACCACTAGGTCACCGCGCTTTCAACTCTACAAATGTGAGAGATAAAGAGAAGTTAGACAGCATCAAAATTACCTTCAATACCAGCGCCACAAACTCGAAAATTAAAGCTTAAACTTGAATCCATGATTTGTTTGTAAACAAAAAAGCCACTGCAGTTCCTCACATGTACGCTCTGCGATTCTTTACAACATGCTTGCGACACAGAGAGAGACAGACGGATCGTACCACTAAGCCTTCGTCTACGCTTGGATGCTTACCCGCCAACCAGCCGGGAACCAACGTACCGCAATGATCAGCGGGAACGCAGGTTGTTGCCATGCGCGTACCGGCTGGGCCACTGAATGTAAACCAGCCCGTTAATGAGTTATCGCTGGCATTAACGATGTAGTTGGTAAAAAACCTTGATCTGCTGGCCTCCCTTAAAATTGTGTGGTTCCTGCACTCGATTGCTTTAGAAAGATGTGGAAAAAAGTAAATAACCATGGATCTTTTCTGTTCCCAATACACGAACATTTGGATATTACTGAGTGACGAAACCGAGATATGACAACGGCGGAAAAAAGGAAACATTTCCGAATCCCCTACGACTAATCGCACCCCTGACGTTCCAATTTCCCGCTCTAATGATCTTTCACTGAGCCAAAAGAGACTCCATGGTAAGCTAGACCATTTTAGACATTCCTTTGCTACTGCTAGTAACAGAAATGTCGAAAGTGTCGCGTGAGTAAATTTACAAAACCCATCAAGCATCCACAATCTCTATTACATCTCTATTACCAACCTGATTAAAGGAATTTCTTTTCTTCTCAAGAATTTCAAAACCTTATCTATCCAGTTCTTTAAAAACCACAGTGTTCAGCTGTACATTCAATCAAATTATGGCATTTTCTCTATTGAGCAAAAATATAAGACTGGTTCATACTGTTGCCTTCAAGTATGATTAAAATTCTCCGGTTGTGGCAATTTGCGCTAGGTATCTTAATTTAGATCGTACGAAGTATCTTTTGAAAAGAAGCTGTCTTCTAACCCTGTCAAAATGCCGGATTAGTCAACTCCAACCTACACTGAATAGAATAAAAAGCTCGTTACCAGATTGAAGGCTGGACGTGGCTTGACTAGAAGGTTGGATGGCCACAGCAAACAGTGCGATTAAGTGGTATAACATCCTTTTTAGGCAGGATCCACCATCCTATGCAGTTTTAGGAAAACAAACTTGTTCATCAAAAAGAAGGGAAAATGTATACCTTTCGAAGCAAAGAAACTTCTTTTTTACACGAAGAGAGATTTAACAATGGGTGTGCCGAAAAGTTAATGTAGTCCTTTTCTAAATAGTAGTCCGAAAGAGTAATATCTCTCTTTTCATGTTTTATGCAAAGTTTCCGGCACGAAGGTTTGACCACGTCGTAACTTTTAACTCATTTCTGAGTTTTTCAATCACTTGCAAACACGTACATCTAACGGTGGGCATAAAAAGTTGCTCTGGTCAGGAAAAGCGACAAAAATTATTTTAGGCATTACGGAAGATGTTTATGACAAGAGCTTGACGTGTACTCTATGGCGTATTATCAGTGTCAGTAATTACGTTACATAAAAATTACAGAATGCAAAGTTAACTCGTTTAACACATAAAACTCAAAGCTGAACTGGTGAATACTTAACGCTCGACGTACCTCTTGCAGTTTTTTCAACCAGCGTGTTCCCTGCAGTACGACATTTATCTCTTTATGACAAACTCCCACTTGTACTTGAATTAATAACTTTAATTTGTCAATTAAATATTTATAAATTTCGACCTTAACAGCCTGGTATTTGTAATAAAAACGAAAGCTATTAAACGTATCACAAATATAAAGATGGGTCTCGAAACGAGTGCAAATTTAATTAGGAATCGCCTCATATGAACAAAAAGCTTGATTACTTGATTAAATTTCAATTCTAGTGTAAACATTGCCGACTTGATGAGAGAACTCTTTCCGCTCCCAAATTTTTGATATCTAAAATGTTTGTTCGTCAATTCTCTTTATAATACATATCTCGTTAGCACTGACAAACTGTCACATTACCAGCTTGAGGCAAAATTTCGCGGCATGATTTCACAACACAGGAACCTATCCATTAAAACTTAAGAGGCTGTCCGCCTCAGAACCGACCAGCTCCAATTTCGGCCGATCACAGAATTCTCTCAAATTTTTACTGTGAGATATTTGATCTTTTCTACGGGCAAAGATTGTATTTATTTGGTTCGTAATGCTATTTCACGAAAGTTTTTGCAACGAGATGTGGGGACGGTCAAAAACAAAGAAAATTGTTTATTTCAGCGTTAATTGTTTATTTCAGCGTTTCGCTGGAGGCTCTAAAAACTTACGCCTTTGTTCAAATAGCATAAATCGGACATATGGTATTATTTTACATCTCTTCTGTCGATTAATAGCAAAAAATGTAAATTTTGACTAAACAGTTAAGAATTACACTATTTTGAAAATACCACACAAACAGCACTTTCCAAATTTGAGCGAGTGTGCTGTTGTTCAAAGACGCTTTTCTCAAAAGTATAACGTAATCTGGAGATCTAACCACTATCTGTGTTTAGTATTAGGGCTGGTGTACCGAAAAAATAAAAAAAAATTTTGGCAACTAGTCTTTTCGAGCTACAGCTGCTCGATGAACTTTACTAATTTTCCTCGATCAAAGTGCATATGACTTAATTTATGCATGCTTGTGGTTACTCCATTTCTCGCTCAAAATCAATATTTGAGGCAGTGCTTATTTTCAAAACTAGCACGGTTGTTTTGTTAAGGTGAGGATGTCCATGAATTAATCCAAACTTGCCCCAAATTTAGCAATTACGAAGCAATGGGTACAAATGAACATCTTCTGTGTGACATTACGGAGTAACCACACGTCTGCATAAATGTAGAGGTAGATGTAGATTTATTTATACTCGAAATTTATGGAGCTTGTCAGGCACCTAGCTTAGATAGCTAATGAATCGAGTAGAAAATAAATGAAATATAATACTAAAAAGTTACAATAAAAGTTCAGAGATAATAAGTAAAGTATGAGGTTAAGTCCTATGGACTTTGATCGTTGAAAATTAGTAAAGTTCATCGAGCAGCTGTAGACACAGGCAGCCCAAGCTCACTACTAGAAAAGCGGACGTGACTCTTACCGTGTTGCGCAACGTTTTATATTTATAAAGGTTTGTATGNCGAAAACGCTTCAAAATGGCCTGAGACGCTAGGAATCAACAAAGAAAACAACAAGGCAATAAGGTAAGTCCATTTTATTTCAAAACAAGACATTTTTTTCTCTCTTTTAAGGCAAACCGATAACATCCCATACAAACCTTTATAAATATAAAACGTTGCGCAACGCGGTAAGAGTCACGTCCGCTTTTCTAGTAGTGAGCTTGGGCTGCCTGTGCTGTAGCTCGAAAAGACTAGTTGACAAAACATTTTTTGTTGTTCTCGGTACACCAGCCCTAATAATAAACACAGATAGTGGTTAGGACTCCAGAATCCGTTACCCTTTTGAGAAAAGCGTCTTGGAACAACAGTACACTCGCTCAACTTTGGAAAGTGCTGTTTGAGTGGTATTTTCAAAATAGCGTAATTCTTAATTAATTGATCAAAATTTACATATTTTGCTATTAATCGACAGAAGAGATGTAAAATAATACCACATGTCCGATTTATGCTATTTGAACAAATGCGTAAGTTTTTAGAGCCTCCAGCGAAATGCTGAAAATTATCGCTGAAATAAACAATTTTCTTTGTTTTTGACCGTCCTCACATCTTGTCGCCAAAAATTTGATAAAAAAGCTTTACGAACCAAATAAATACAATTTTTACCGATAGAATAGATCAAATATCTCACAGTAAAAATTTGAAGGAATTCTGTCATCGGCCGAAATTCAAGTGGTCGGTTCTTACGCGGACAGGTGAGCACAAACGCCGGTTAAAAGAAAATTTACTTGTTTTGCTTCTTAAGTAGGCTTCAATAAACCATTGTCGGATACAGGAGCCTCGATGGTAATTATCAGCCCTCTTGCTCCTGGAGTAAAACCAGAAGACATTAATTGCTGAGAACAGACCCTTATATAAAACTACCATGACATTTTGATAAAAATGAATAAAGGCTGATAGTTTCGAAAGAAACTGTTTGGGGCTGCGTCGGTGGGAGTAACGAAATAATTTGGATATATCAACAAAGTTGAAATGGTAAATTGGCCACCATAACGATTACAAAAGTAATCATTACGGTGGCCAATTTACCATTTCAACTTTGTTGATATATCCAAATTATTTTGATAAAAACCCTCTTATGTAAATCGTCATCGTTACATAGCGACAATATAGGGGTAAAAATATGATAAGCTCTGGAAATAAGGTACGGGTTTAAGACTCTTGGTTATATATAAAGCAAAGCAGTGACCGGTTTTCTTTTACCGGGCGTTTGTGCTTACCTATTTGGCAAAATTGCATTTAGTTTTAAATGGATAGGTTCCTGTGTTGTGAAATCGTGCCGCGAACTTTTGCTAAGTTAGCTTTGCATTCTATAATTTTTATGCAAGGTAATGACCAACATTGATAATACGCCATAGAGCACACGTCAAGCTCTACATTAACTTTTATCACCATCGAAACCCGCGTGTCTCTACTGACACGGACCGAAGCTCTGCGTGACGTCACACTAGTTTGCAGACGAGATTGACGGGAGATAAAAATAATAACTGCTAATGTGGGATAAATTGGCCACAATAATGACGCTTTTATTTCACCCGACATCAAGAACATTGATATAATAAACATCTCGCAATATCTTAAGCAAAGGTGGGGTTAAATATCGGCAAACAGGCAAATACGTTTAAAAAGGCAACGAAAGCCTGAAGAGAAGATCGGAGCATGGGAAGGGGGCGGGAAAATTCTTCTACAGCACCGAAAATCTGTGTTCGGATTTTAACACGATGGGAATGAAGGCGAGGAGGACCAGGAGAAAAACTGACATTGCCTATAACCTTGGTGCTATTTGATCTGAGCTCATTTGATTGGCTTAAGATCTGTGATTGACAGCACTCCTTGCCCCATGCAAAGGCACACCTAAATACTTAAATATATATATGACGGGCCTCGAGATAAAATCACATTATGCTTATGTCGTAATGTTGGCCTTTTCGACACACCCATGGTTAACTCTCTCTTCGTGTAAAAAAGAAGTTTCGTTGCTTAGAAAGGCCTACATCTTCCCTTCTTTTTGTTGAACAAGTTTGTTTTCTTAAAACTGCGTAGGATGGTGGATCGTGTTTGAACCTTGTAGGGGATGCTATATCCTTTTGTTCTAACACCTGTATATATTCTATATGTACAAATCTTGAAATGAATAAATAAATCCTGACTAAAAAGGAAGTTACACCACTTCATCGCACTGTTTGCTGTGGCCATCCAACCTTCTCGTCAAGCGACGTCCAGCCTTCATCCTGGTAACGTGCTTTTATTCTATTTAGTGTGGGTGAGTTGACTAATCATTTTGACAGAGTTAGAAGACAGATTCTTTTCAAAAGATACTTAGTACGATCTAAATTAAGATACCTAGCGCAAATTGCCACAACCGGGGAATTTTAGTCATACTTGAAGGCAACAGTATGAACCAGTCTTATATCTTTACTCAATAGAGAAAATGCCGTAATTTGATTGAATTTACAGCTGAATACTGTGGTTTTCAGAGATAAGGTTTTGAAATTCTTGAGAAGAAAAGAAATTCCTTTAATCAGGTTGGTAATAGATGACTGAGATGCTTGATGGTTTTTGTAAATTTACTCACGCGACACTTTCGACATTTCTGCTACTAGCAGTAGCAGAGGAATGTCTAAAATGGTCTAGCTTACCATGGAGTCTCTTTTGGCTCAGTGAAAGATCATTAGAGCTGGAAATTGGAACGTCAGGGGTGCGATTCGTCATAGGGGATTCAGAAATGTTTCTTTTTTTCGCCGTTGTCATATCTCGGTTTCGTCACTTAGTAATATCCAAACGTTCGTGTATTGAGAACCGAAAAGATCTATGGCTATTTACTTTTTACTCTACGGCTTTCTAAAGCGATCGAGTGCAGGAACCACACAATTTTAAAGGAAGCCAGCAGATCAAGGTTTTTTTTACCAACTACATCGTTAATGCCAGCAATAACTCATTAACGGGCTGGTTTACATCCTGTGGCCCAGCCGGTACGCGCATGGCAACAACCTGCGTTCCCGCTGATCATTGCGGTACGTTGGTTCCCGGCTAGTTGGCGGGTAAGCATCCAAGCGTAGACGAAGGCTTAGTGGTACGATCCGTCTGTCTCTCTGTGTCGCAAGTATGTTGCAAAGAATCGCAGAGCGTACATGTGAGGAACTGCAGTGGCTTTTTTGTTTACAAACAAATCATGGATTCAAGTTTAAGCTTTAATTTTCGAGTTCGTGGAGCTGGTATTGAAAGCAATTATGATGCTCTCTAATTGTAAGATTAAACGAGACTTACCTGTAAGTTGAAGTTTGATATAAATTCTATCACATTATCATGAAGTGTAAAGGGATCACATGAGATTGCACCATCCAATCCCAGCAGTCAAAATTGAGAGAGTGAGCAAATGCTGTACGGAATTGTGAAAAAAGATCCGGGTGGGTCCCTAAAATAATAAGTTGGGGTGGGCATGTGATCCCTTTACACTTCATGATGATGTGATAGAATTTATATCAAACTTCAACTTACAGGTAAGTCTCGTTTAATCTTACAGGTTTATCCCATCATCCTCAGTGTAGGGATCCCACGAGATGTTGAGAGCCAGCATTTGTGAACCAAATAAAAACAAAGATGTAGGTTTACAGTCCAAAAACTTAATTAGTCTACAAAAATAGGAAGAAACAATGGGTGCTAAAAACGAGCTAAATGTTTCATCTCTTACAATGCAAACACTACAGTACTGACAAGGAGGAATTCAAGACAGTAGTAGCATAGGCTCCTTCCTTGTGCATCTCTTTAAGATAATATTTAGCAAAGGTTGATTGGTTTGACCAGCCTGCTGTACGAAGGATGGTTCCCAAAGGGACATTAGCATGAGATGCAGCAGAGACCAATGCTGCCCTAACTCTCTGTGGTTTGAAACGGGTAAGGTCAACCCCTGCTAAAGCCAAAGTGGTTTTGACCCAACGTGAGATTGTGCTCTTAGCTACCTGCTTATAAGGCTTTACAAAACTAATAAACAGGCTCCTGATATTCCCACGGAGAGGTTTGGTTCTGGCTAAATATTCTTTAACAACTGAAACTGGACAAAGGTCATTATCAAGGATGTAAGCTGGAAATTCAAGTTCATGGAGGTGATAACCTGGCCTTGTTTGTTGAAGCATATCCCCAATAGAACTTTCACAACAGAATCATTTACGAACATGTTACGAATATCTAATACATGAACAGTTTGTATCCTCTGAGCTGACAGGATAGCTAACAAAGTCACTGTCTTAAGAGTCAACACTTTGAGACTCAATTTCTCAACTGGAGATTGAGTCTTAAGAAGTTCAGTAACAAAACCGGATCCCATGCAACTGTGTATCGTGGAAGAGATGGTTTCTGTTGAAAAACCCCTTTCATAAATTGCTTGGTGAGAGGTAATTCTCCGAATGAAACTCCAGCTTGCAAAGGTAAGACTTGTGACAATGCGGATCTGGCAGTGTTCAATGCACTGTAGCCTAAGCCCTTTTCAAACAATTCAGTTAGGAAATCCAGAACCTTTATGAAAGAAACTGAGCAGGGATCCAGACCCCTTTTAGTGCAAAAGTTGTGCCACTTCTTGAGATATACATGGTATTGTTGTTGAGTGGTTTCTCTCCATGATTGGAGGATAACTGCGGAAGCTTTTTCTGAAACACCTCTTGCTCGTAATGAATCCCGGATAATTTGCATTCCATTAGCTTTAACTTTTTGTGAAGAGGGTGTCGCATCTGGGGGTGGGTGGGAAGGGTCAGTAACTGAGGGTAGCGTGGTAGAAGAAGAGGATATTCTACAAACATGCGTAACAGGCGAGGAAACCAGGTTTGGGTGGTCCAAACTGGAACAATGATGATGCCATGTGCTTGATCCTGTCCTGTTTTCTGTAAGATCCTGTTGATTACAGCAAAAGGAGGGAAAGCATAAAAATTATATTCCTTCCAGGTAACTGAGAAGGCATCAATTGCAAAAGCTTCTGGGTCTGGTTTCCAGGAAATAAAAGGTCGTATCTGAAAATTGAGTCTGGAGGCAAAAAGATCTATTGAGGGTTTACCCCAGTGACAGGATATCCTCTGAAAAACAAGAGGATCCATCTTCCATTCAGTATCGAGAAAATTTTGTCTGGACTCAGTATCCGCTAGGACATTAAGTTTCCCTGGGATGTGGGCTGCAGTAACCCACAAATTTCTTTCAATACACCATAGCCACAATTTCCTTGTTACTGAGTTGCATGATGCGCTTCTACCACCCACTGTATTAATGTATGAAATAGCTGTATTGTTGGCAATCAGATACAATGATACAGGCCGTACAGGCCCGATTTTTTTCAGGCCTGATTTTCGCTATTGCTTAAATAGCGCTAACTACTGCGAGGATCGTGCATCATACGTATCTAATACCGTAGTTCAAAATATATGAACTTCATATATTTCATTGTATCTTATTTATGACTTTCACGGGTTTATTACGAATCAACTTAACGGCCTGCTCCCAGTTGGCTTGTTAGCTCAATTGGTAGAGCGCTGCACTAGTATCGCAGAGGTCAGTGGTTCGAATCCCGTACAGGCCTGAAATTTTTTTCAGGTCTGATTTTCACTATTGCTCAAATAGTGCTTTACTGCGAAGGATCGT